ATTTCGATTTGGAATTGAAACACAGTCAGGAAAGTATGTAGAATTCTAAAAAAACATTCATCAAACTGACCATTCGCTTTGCACTGTGAATTACCTCCAGGAAAATGATGTGAGAAGCGTCCATTTCGTCGTGAACGTTCACATAGTAGATTTCAATGTTGCCGTCTTGCCTGCCAAGGATCAGGTTTTTGTCACCATTTCCTGCCATATTGTAGCTGTGGATGCACAAAATCGGGCAAAGATTCTTGTCGTTCAAAATTAGCCAACGTTGGAAACCGCCGAGGCTGCAAGTACGGTTCAAATTCACTGGTTTTACAAGCCCAAACGCCCCGTAAAGTTTCCATTTTAATACCTTTCCACATCCAGAATTCCCACTTTTCCATCGACAGTTCCAAACAAAACCGTTCGCGAATCGTCGTCTTCGTAAATATGCAGCACCGTTGGCGAACTTTCAACTTCCATACTCAGAGTTACTCTTGCATGTTCCAACACCCTAATCATACGCCCTTCGCAGGCAATTAAGGATGTCAATCTTCGGGTCTGAAAGTTCACATCTTTAGGAGGCATTTTACTGGAAAACTTGCTAATATGCACGTGTGGTGCGGCTGGTTAGAGACGTTTTGAAAATTCGCTCGGATGCGAACTTACCTTTGTCATGTAAAACGCGATTACGTCCACTATAGTGTCTCCGCATAGGTAAGAGCCGACGTCTTTGCAATCTCTATAGTGGTTGTAAACGTGCCGGCCACACAAGAACAGTTCATTGCCCAAAACAAACCTGAAATTTGGAGAAAACTTTTTAAAATTTAGGCACAATAACAGTTTTTAACTGCACTTTTGTGGCATTTTGTGGTGATTTAACTCAACGTTCATCCCCCTAGAGATTTTACGCATCTACTTAGTTAAACACCGCATATACAGGGTGGTTTTTTAGTGCTATAGAGTTCATCATTTCCTTCGTTTCATATTAAAGTTGTTGACGCACAATGTGCGCATATTCAAAAAACATCTTATATGATACATTACATTATGTATACATATAAGTGTAAAGTGTATTCTGTCTCTATCTGTATACATATAAAGTGTATTCTGTCTCTATAGCTCTTCCTCGTTTTTCTCCCGTCTATTTTAAACAGAAGACCCAACCCAACCCAACTAAACCCAAGAAGAGCAAAATGAACAACATCTCGTTAAAGAATGTTAAATGTTGCAAATAAAAAAGATATTGTACATTCAAAAGGAAATTAATTTAAATTTTACCTATTCCCGATCCATTTATAAATTATTAGACTAACGAGAATATTAAAATTTTAATGCGTTAAACAAGTTCAAAATTTTATGAACATTATATCTAAAAATTCATTGTAGATACAAAAAAATACGTCTTCCCAATCATCCGTTAAGAATTCTATTGAACCAAAATATCAATACATTATACAGGGTTAACAATGTGGACTTCAACCTAAAACTTTTTAACGCAATATAACTTTTGTTTTTCAAATGGAATTGTAAGTTGCTATCTAATGACGTATTAGTATACAGGTACTTCCATTTGAAAAACAAAAGTTATATTGCGTTAAAAAGTTTTAGTTTGAAGTTCACATTGTGAACACCCTGTACAACGTATTAATATTTGGACGTTTATTTACGACGTTTTATTATCGAGACGTATTTTTTTGCATCTGACTGCTTTTTTTTGCTTCTACAATTAATTTTTAGATATCATGTTTCTAAGCAAAATTTTGCTAAAACAGCGATAATCTGCCAAGGTCGCAAGTAAGAAGAGAAAATTTACGGTGCATATGCAGCGTTTCAAGCTGCATTCCATGAGCTGATGAAAAATGGGTAGTTCTATTTAGAACAATACACTTTAATCTAGCCTCGCTTTTCCGAGACACTCTGTATCATAAGATATTTTTAAAATGTGCGCACTTTGTGCGTCAACAACTTCTATATGAAAGTATTTTGCGAAAGTTCAACACCAACGGAAATAATGGACTCTCTCGCACTAATAAATCACCCTGTATGTAAAATTGAATGAAACTCATTTTACCAGTCGGGAACGTAGGTGGCATCGGATATCTCGCTCGCACGCATAGCAGTCTAGAGAAATGCAAGTCGCCTGCGCGCTGCTGCGTTCCAGCTTGATACCTTCACCGCTTAAAATATTTTCGATTTTTTACCAATTTTCAATTACATTTTATTGTTCAAAGCATAAAAAAGTTAGCATATCGACGTTAAGTAGATTTTTTATTTTAATTTCGCCAAAAAATAATTTTATATTTAAAAATTAATCGATCATTTTTTTGCGATATTTTCTGGACGGGTTGTATCGGCAAACCAAGGTATCTCTCTCTATTGATCTAAGAGCTACATTATGCAAGCTGCTTACATGGAATTGATAGTTTCCGTCATTCCAGAGTCAAATACCAGGAACAGTTTTCCTTTCTTCGTGTATCCTTTAACTTCGTTCCCCGCTGCTATGAATATTTTATCGTTTGCCGTTCCTGGAAAATTGCAAATTCAGATATTGCTATATTTTATGCATATTCAAAAGCGCAGGTAACGAGGACTCTTTTATTAGTTTACCGGAAATAAGGAATAATTGTTATAATTGCTTTAGCGAGTAGAAAAACAGCGAAACTCTCTATTTCACTTGAACGCCCCTATGGAAATTTTCATCTAGTCATGATCATTTGCAGTTTAATGTTAAAACAATTTTTTAATATTTGTTCAATTACCTGAAGCTCCAGCCACTTTGAGCGATGTAATTGGCGGACCAGGCAGAGTTTTAAAATGTATTTGAATGTCGTCTCTTCTAACCGAAAATAGCTGCAGGATTCCTTCGCTATCCGCGATTGCAACCTATTAATGAGGAAAATACCTTCTATATCTTTCCACTAATCAATGGTAAATACAATGAAGCAGATGTTAGTTACTTTTTGGGGCTCTTTACTGGTGGAAGGGGGCAATAATCTCATGCAGTTTTTATTGGTGACTCCTGCCACTGTATAATCCACTCGCGATAATTGCAATTCCATGTTTTTCCGCTAGTTTTTTGCAATTTAACACCAACGAAACACATAAAGCAGACGATTATTTACGTTGTTCGGCAATGCAGGTGGTTTCGGAAGAATCGATATTGTCTTGCCAACCCGGAATAACTACAATCAGCCCTCAATAGCAAGAACAATTCCGACCGGGAAATAGTGTTTAAGTGTAAATGCAATCCAATAGCCAAATATTAAAACATTCCGATCGAAATGTCGGCGTATTCAATTTAAGAAATTAATGGAAAACTGCGAAATATTTCACTATTGCATCGAATTGACCAGCGAAGCGTTATTAAATGTGGTACAGAAATCTGCTGGCGCTTACAGACAAAGAATTAAATGTTCGTGTTTTGGTCTTTAGCAGAATAATGGCGCAATTTCAATTTAAATTTTAGAAGCAACAAAGCGCATTGTTGGTGGCTTTTAAATATGTGTACATGTTTCTGGAAAAAATCCTGCAGAATATATGGGAATTTTTATTAAAGCCTTCGCGTCTTCGGAAGCCAATACATTTAGCTGTAAATATTCTAGAAGAAAAGTGCAACAAAATGACTAAAAGCGACTAAATTGAAGAATCTTGGTTTAATCTGTTCAAAGTAACGTAATTTAACTGCATTTAACGGCCGTAATGTTGGCAAATTATTTCAATTGAGAATCTCAGTGCTGCTCAAATTAATTCGACGCACCTCCACTAATCCAATCATTATTTAACTAAAATTACACATTTCAATAATGGCTGATTTAATCGTCAATTTGTGCACTATCAGTTTTAAAACACCAGTAAATGAAACAGGAAATTTGACTATGTAAAGAACAATTAATGTGATAATTTGCGAACCAACCGATAGATCAATTTTGAACGGTGACATTCAACTTTAAATAAATATGGATTTGTTTAGTTGCGGACGTTTTGTGGCAAAAAAGCACGGCAAAACTTGGGGAAATAACATAAAATCGTTCACTAGCTGGGATTTTTTGAGCTTATTACAAATAGTGGGTTTTTATGACTTGTTGTGTTGACTTTTGATCATTTGATGCTTTTTATTGGAAACATGTTTGACTGGAGATCGAATTTGACTTGATATTTTCAATCTCAATGCTTTAAATGTTCTCAATGCCTGGCTAAATGAACAGTTGGGGTTTTAAACTAGTTATGGCTTTTAAAGTGAAATGAATGAAATTTACGTTAATAAATAAAATTTATCCAGGAACCATTGTTCTTTTAATATCATAATTGCTTTCATTGAACGCATCGATTCAAGGGAATATTAAACAGTTTATTGGAATGTCTGCATTTGATAGTGAATTTGCTTGCCAACAAAAAAAAAATTAATGAGCTGGAACTGGCATAAAAGAGTTTGTCTTTGGCGCATCTTTGATCCGACCTTAGATTTTCTTTGAGCCTCAATACGGGCAAGTTTGCACGGTGTCGGCTAACTCTTTCTCGCATTTCATTTAATTGGAAAGTGCCGAAATGGGAATATGATATAGTTTGCCAGTCCTCGTTTTGTTGGAGCTAAAAAGCTCCTGTTTACGTGGCATGTTCCAGTCGGTTATAAATTACTCGAAAGAGTGCCGAGATTGTGAAGATAAAGGAGATTTAAAGTGGATGCAAATCCGCAACAGTCGTGAGGGATTAACTCCAGATGTTTTTGAACACCAGTCGCTTTAGGATAGTGTTTAGGCGAATTGTTGTTATAAATGAGGTTTTTGCTCGAGAACTCCAAAAGGATGAGTTTCACTTTGCGCTAGAGCTTCGCTCACGCACAAACTTTTTCAAGTTGATGCACAAAAGTAAAAAGAACTTGTGCCTAAAATGGCAAAAATCTGATATTGCGATATTCGAATCGAGCACGGGAAAGTTCCGAGAGTAGAAATTAAAATCTGTTGTATTGCGGCAACCCTATTTTGCGCTTAGTTTTTAGTTTCGGCCTCTTGTATGAAGAGTAAGCGGCAGATATTTTGATTAGTTCGCACAGAGAGAGAGTTTACTCAACATGGGCATGTATGCAGCACCTGATTTTGCCGAATATTTTATTCGCAAGCATAATTCGGAATTCTCGACGTGCTGAAAAGTGTGAATTTATTTTGATAGATTTACATACGATTTGCCATCTGAGGCAAATGCAAATTCCCCAGAGACGATGTGGTTTTTGCCCGAGTGAGATATGTGAACGTATAGATTGTGATTTTTGCGAGGGCCTGTATATTGTATATTTTGTTCAGCCACTTTCCATGCGAATGGGTAAGTTGCGCTTTGCACTAGAGCGGCATTTTCGTCTAAACGTTTTGGAAGATTCAACAAAAGTGTGCCGTTTTCAATGCAAATGCAACTGTTAGTCTTTTATGGTATGGACAGTTGAAGTGTGCTTGTGTTTATGCTTCTTATAAACTGCTTTTTGGAAAGTATCGCTTCGAGTTAGTAGGTATCCGAAAAAATCCAGGAAATTCGCAGACATTTCTGTGAAAGTGGGGTTTTCTTCATTTAAATCAGCGGATTTTCGCTTTGGACTTATATTATGGGCCGGATTGCGGGATTTTCGGTTTTACCTTGGCAAATGTTTGAAAAATCGGTGTTGTCCAACTTCCAATCGCTTCGCTTTAGTGTCCCAAAAAACCCTGAAAACTCCCAGAAATTTTCTATTCAAGTAAAGTTTTTCACACTTAAAGCAGCGCATTTTCTCTTTTGAGTGATATTATGAGCCGGATTGTGAGATTTTTGGCTTCTTCTGGTCAAATTTTCGAAAAAAATTCTGTTTTTCAATGGCCAATCGACTGAGTAACTTAAAAATTCGTGGAAAGTCCCAGCCATTGTCAATCAAAGTGAGTTTTTCCTCATTTAAAGCAGCGGATTTTCACTTTCGAGTGATGTCATAGTGAGGATTCAGAGATTTTTGAAAAATCCGTGTTTACTAACGGCCTCACCTTCGTAACTGAAAAAATCCAGGAGAAACTCTCAGACAGTTCTTGTTAAAGTGAGTTTTCCACACTTAAAGCAGCGCATTTTCCATTTCGAGTGATATTATGGTCCGGATTGTTGGATTTTTGGTTTTTTCTTGTAAAATTTTTGAACAATTTGTGTTTTTCAAACGCCAATCGCCTCCCATTTCKAACTGAAAAAATTCTGGAAACTCACAGCATTTTCCGCACTTAAAGCAGCTCATTTTCTCTTTCGAGTGATATTATCAGCCGCATTGTTGAATTTTTGGCCGTTTCTTGTAAAATTTGTGAAAAATTCGTGATTTCCAACGGCCAATCGCCTCGCCTTAATAACTGAAAAAATATTGGAAACTCTCAGAAATTTTCCATTAAAGTGGATTTATCTTCACTTAACATCGCGGAGGTTCTCTTTGGAGTGATATTCTGGGCAGTGTTGAGAAATTTTTGTATTTTCCTTGACATTTTTTTTATATCAGTCTATCTATACTAACGGCTAATCGTCCTAGTAACTGAAGACACCCTGTAAACGCCCAGCAATTTCCTATTTAAGTAAGTTTTTCCTTACTTAATGCAACCGATTTCCTTTTTCGAGTGATGTTGTGAGTCTCATTCAAAAATTTCTCATATTTTCTTGACGAATTTTTGAAAAATCCGTGTGGTCCATGCACCATTCGCTTCGATCTAGTAGCTGAAAACATCCTGGAAACTCCTGCTAGAAATTTCTTATTAAAGTGAGGTTTTTCGCATTTAAAGCCGCATATTTTCTCTCTCGAGTGATGTTATGAGCCTCATTCACGAATTGTCGGTTTTCTCTTGGCGAACTTTTGAAAAATCCATGTTGTCCAAGCACCATTCACTTCGATTTAGTAGCTGAAAAAATCCTGAAAACTCCTCCTAGAAATTTCCTATTAAAGTGAGCATTTCCGCATTTAAAGCCGCATATTTTCTCTCTCGAGTGATATTCTGGACAAGCTTGAGAGATTTTTAGTTTTTCCTTGACATTTTTTTAAAAACCGTCTATCTATACTAAGGGCCAATCGTTTTCCGTTAGTAAATGAAAACATCCTGGAAATCCCAGAAATTTTCCAATCAGGTGAGTTTTTCCTCACTATTTTGACTTAGCAGGCAGAAAAATAGCAGGAAGAAAAATTTTGCAAGCAGCTGAGATAAAAGCAACGGCAAAAGCCAAATAAACATGGTAGAAGGGGGACAAAACTGGAAAACATGGGTTTTGTCGAATTCGTACAAAAATAAAGTGTTCTTATCGCTCCCAAGCGTAATTATGCCTTATACAATATTTTTCCGGAACGAGCGGAATCCACATCCATATTTTAGAGTTTTACTGTCGATGCAACGCAAGGGAAAAAATTGAGGCAACAAAAGCGCCCATATATTTTTGATTAGAACACTTTATGTGCAGATCGTAGAATCTGATTATTGGGCCGTTTCCCTTTAAACGGCCACGATGTTAAACTGAGGACCTCATTTCGTCAAAAATACCAAGTTTTCCCTAAACAATTTTTGTGCTTGTGTGAATAATTGCTTCTATCAGAAGATGCTGAATCGCGAATCAAATCAGCCGTTTGCTGAAAGAACGAAACACAATTACCATCCTTCTAAACGAGCCCAATGCCATCAAGTAAAAGGTCCATTCCGTTCGCGTTTTACCTAATTACGCTAATTTTAAAAGTTTCCTAAAATCGAAATTTTAAATTGTTCTTTCGGCTTGTCCAAGTAATAAAACTTTGCCAACAACCTAATTCCAACAGATTAGTATGAAAGAAGTTGACGTTTTTAAGTTGCGTTATCTTCCTCAAGAGATGCAGAGCCAAATTGCCACTCAGTTGTCAAAGGTTTATCTTAGTCGCATAAAAGTTTTAATGAACAGTCTATCAACTGCAAGTCCACGGACGCTGGAACTTTTTTCTCAATTCTGATAACAAAAACTCAGTTTTATACTTCAGTCCAGGTCAGTATCTCCGAGTAGCTGGTTTTTCAATTATCTTCCAGATTAAAAAAATTCTTCGTGGTTTGCCAGCAGCAAATCAATGGTCAAGCTAAATGATCCTACAAAAAGCCAACCGTAAATAATAGTTGCAAACATATATTTCCCGACAAAAATGTTGCATTGACTGCAAGCGCCGAGTTATTTGCCCTGCTGCAGTTAAGAGCACATTCTAGGGAAGTTAATATTGTATAAGTTTCCAGT